GGAAAGAGTTTGGGGCAGAGGACTGCAGCTCCTTCAGTAGCTTCATGCTGTGTGTCCTCGGCCAAATCACTTGACCTTTCTGGGCTCCATTTTTCTTCACTCTTAAACAGGAACATCTAGTGGAGGGAGCAAATAGGTGTCAGGCCCTGGGGATATAGGGGTCCACAGAACAGACCAGGACCTTGCCTTGGTGCAGCCTAGAGGCGGGTGCAGAAGATGGTGTCAAATACGCGGATGTGGGACTCCAAAGTGTGTAAAGTGCTGTGCATTCCAACAAGCATCAAAGGAGACCGAGGGGCTGCTTGTCCGTGGTTAGTAGTCAATGGACTGCCTCCGCTGTGATTGTTATTCTCATTATTCTGTAGGTTTTTGCCTCTGAAAGAAAGTTTTGTTAGCGCTTACGTGGCCTGGGGAGGATGGTCTGGCATCCTCAGAGCCCTGGCCTGACCTGACCATGCTGTTTGTGGACCAGGCTGTGTATCCTGGAATAAGCCACTTGTCCTGTCTGAACCTCTGCTTTTCCACTTGGAAAATGGGGCCGCTGGTGCAGATAAGTGGTCCTTAACTCTGTCTGGATGCGAACCTCCTGTCTAAATGTCAAAAGTAAATCCCCCAGCCCTCAGGAGAGTATTTGTACTTGGTGTGTTAATTGAGAAAATAACCTTGTGACAACAGCTTCTAGAGATTTAATCACACCGTACCGTTTAAGGGCGCGTTTGTTCGCTAATCTCACGGCCTAGGGCTATTGAAAACCAGTTGGAATAGGTGGTGGGTTGCCTAAGGTGGATTCAAGGAGCCCTTGTGTGTGTTCCCCGCCCCCCACCCCAAGACCCACCTTGTATGTGAAGAGGTTTTTTTGGGAAAAAAAAAAAGAGTTTAGGGTAAAAGGAGCATCTGCTCTCTGCTTCTGCAGAGCAGTGCTACCCGAGGTGTAGCTGTGACCCCATACCCCCAGTGCACCTGCGTCCTGGGCCTCCACAGCGCGGGTGTTTTGAACTGGCTGCTGGGAAACTCCCAGGGGGCAGAGGTCCAGGGCTACTTCCTGTGGCCAGGTGAGTCGAGCTGACTCCCTTGCTGTGTCTCTGGGACACCACCATCTGTCTCTGACCTTGGCCTCGCTCATTTGCTTGCCAGTCCATTGACACCTTTGGGGAGGCCCCTGAGGCTTTTGAAACTTTGTAGTTTCTTGGAAATAAAAAAAAAAAAAGTCAATTGGTTTATCTTGTGGGGGGGAGGAGGCACAGTGGACACAGCTACTCGGGGTTTCCACGCAACAGTTCTGTCTCTCCCCCCGCATCCATCTTTCCCTTTTATCTAACATTCCACATATTTATAACGAAATAGTCCATTAACCTGGGCCCCAAAAGGTCTGGAATGCCCAGATGATAAATTTATGCTCTAAAGATATTTGATCCAAATGGTTATTTATAAATGTGGATTCCATTTTAGTGGCAATTTTAAAAAGAGTCGAGTAACTTAATCATCACAAGGTGATAGACTTTGGAAAGACCTTCTGTTAACCTGGTCATTAAAAACACAGACTCTCCCTTCAGTCTGCACCCCAGACTCAGCCATGTCAGGAAGGTCGAGCTGCTTGGCTCTGAGCTTCAGCTTACCAGCAGGACTTCCCTCCCGGTCCCCATATTTCTTTCATCGCCCTCCACCTCTCCTGTCGGAACCTCCCTGGACTACACAGCGCCGGTGAGCTGTGACTCAGTGTGGCACCAGGACTTAGCTCGTTTGTTTAGTCTGGTTGCTTCCAGAGTAAGACCCGAGCTCTCCACGGTGTAGTTTTGGGAGCCTGAGAGTGAGTACTCGCTGGTGAAGAGGCGTGGAGAAGGGCAGAACCGTCCTTGAAGCCAAGGCGCCTATGGCTCAGGAGTGTGTGTGAGCTAAACAGCCTCTTCAGCCCTGACTGTCATTCTTCATGTGTTTATTTGTTTTTGGAGGTGGGCTCTAACGCAGATAGAGCTCCCACTTCCTGCCTTGGCTAACACCAGATACAGATGTGTAACTTGATGGGGAGGAACCCCTTTAGACCTTCCAGAAACGACAGGCAAAATGAATGCTGCTTTGTGTCACATTAACTCCAGGGGGAAATTTAAAACGGAGGAGGCAGGCGGAACTTAGTCTCTGAGGCCAAGGTGGGGTTGACAGTTTCAGGGACAGTTTTAAAGAACACCTGGAGAGCTACTGACACATTTTTACATAATCAAGATTGTCAAGTGCCTTAACTGCAAGCTCAAAGAGCCCCCGCCCATTTCTCCACTGGAAACGCACTGCCCTTAACCAGGATTTCTTCACATGAGCCTCTCTCTGCAAACTACAGGGCCACAGGGCATCATGTCGGGGTGATTATAGTGGAAGTACATTACTGCTCAGCTGCACTTCTTTCTCATCCAAATTTGACCGGTTTTCTGCTTTTTTCTGTAGAAGATGTCTTTTTAATCTTAAACTCTTTATTTTTCTTCTGCAATAGAAAGGGAAGGGGAACCCTCTGAGCTTTCTGAGAGACTTATTATATACATGTTTGTGTGTGTGTGTGTGTGTGTGTGTAATAAAGAGAAACTTTCATTTAAAAAAACAAATTACATAAGAGTTTATAAATCAGGGACCAGCAGTTAGCCTAATGGTTATGTCCCTGGACTCCCATGTAGTCAACGCAGTTCGAGTCCCGGACCCAGTGGCTTAAACTCACGCCGGGCATGTGTGCGTGCATGCCCAAGACCCCGAGAGGAGAATGGAGGAGAAGGGATTGTGCGTGGCCATCCCCTCTGGAGGGCTCTTTCTCGCTTTCTGTCTCTCTGTCTCCCTCTATCTGTCTGGCGAGCGCACGCGCCCTATAGCAAAAACCTCTCCAAAAAAAAAAAAAGAATTTATGAATCAAAGAAGGTCACAGTTTTTTTTTTTTTTTTTTAAGAGGATTGAGTGGACCAAGTTTTGTGTTTTGTTTTTTGTTTTTTGGTTTTTTTTTTCCACTTCTCTTTCAGAAAATCCAGCATTCATTGTTCGCAGCACAGTTCAATGAGGATTCTGTGGGCTCCCCTCCCTCTCTTGAAGTCCTTTTGCTAAGGTCAGCAGCGACAGGTTCAGAAAAGGCAAGCCATTTACTATTTGCAATTATGTTGAAAACATTTGATTTTTGAAAACTCTATCTTGAATGAACAGGAGCCAAACTCATAATAATAATAAAAAAGTCAACCTTTCAAAGGGTTTCAGTCCAAAACACTTGGTCAACTGGCCAAGGAGTCTGCAGACCCAGGAGGTTGCCTTAGGCTCTACCATGCACGGTGTGACCTTGGGCAAGTCACTGCTGCTCTGTGTTCCAGGATGTATGGGCCTGGGCCCTGTCCAAGGTCCCTTCTAGCTCAGACACACTGTGATGAGCTCAGTTCAGACACAGAAGGCATTTAGGATGTCTAATCTGGTGTTTTCTTGTTCTTTTGGAATTGCTTTCGTATATGGCAGCGTAGAAAGTTGGCTAGGGATTGGAAGATGAAGCTCTTGGCACTGTTTGGTAGCATCCTACTAAATCTGGAAATTGGTAAGTTTCACACTGTCCTGACAAGAACTCGACCGCTATCTCTTGACCCACGAACACCAACCCTGGTGCTATTCCAGAGTAAATGAGAAAACAGCAATAGGATTCTGGCGCACTCAGCACTGTCCTGGGTGCCGTTCAAATCAAATTGACTTACCCGCTTGCTTTCCGAGTCCCCTGGTTGTGTGGGTAGCAGAACACAGGCGCGCCAGGTGCCATTAGGATGTGTGTGTGTGTGAGAGCGTTTCATCTCAATAAACGCTAAACGGCTTCATTACAGTCTCAGCATCCCCCCAGGAGCGTTTTAGAATTTGAAATATTCCAGAAGTTAAAAACAGTTGCTGGTCCTTTCATTTCATGAGAGTCATCGCACCTTCCCTTCCTTTGCATAATAACCCAAGAAGACTCGGTCTGTATTCATACGGATATTATATTTGGTCCGGCAAGTTCCAAGCGATACGCTTGTCATTTTCCCATTGTACAGGGCGGGCCGCCGATGTTACAAATGATTACCACTGACGGCTTTGTATCGGCAATGCAGCTTCTCCCGCTGGTGTCATTTGTGTATTCTAATTGGGAAGGCAGGGGTAGGCAGGCACGGGCTTTCCTCTGAGCTTACCTTCACCCCTGGGTCCTGTGAGTGCTGTCAGCAATAACATGTGCACAACTTACTCTCAATAAACTGTATTTGAGTAGATTTCTGCTTGCTGCACATCCAGGATGTGATGAGTGAGCGTGGAGAGGGCCCTTTCTTCCATGTCATCTTGGATATCAAGCTGATACTTAAGGTTTTAGCAAATGAACATGCCTGGAAAAGGACAAAATCCTCCTTCGACTGCTTATTTACTGTTCAAATCGAGGAAGTATTTTGTAGGGTGGGAGAGAATGCCTTTTCTTGTTGAAGATTCAATATTTTTCTTGAAAAATGCTTGCCTCCTGTCTTGAGACAGGACACGAACGAGAGAAACCCCAATCCTAGCTTCTTGTTTTTCTGTCATTTCCCTCTGCTGACAAACCCAGAGTTGCTTATTACCTGCCATAGAGTCATCATTTGATGGAGCTGCAAAGATAAGTACGATCCTTTAACCCCTGACCAATTGGGTGTTGTGCCTGTGGTTCCTCCCCACCTCCACCTGCCGTCAGCCCGGTGCACGGGCCAAATGCACCTGTCAAGAGCACGCAGCCCCTCACGCGTGCACCTGTCTGCTCATGCTCGAAGCACATGGACGTCTCCTTAGCGTCCTAATCCCCCCTCCATCCTGCACAGGGCTTTGCACTGAAGCAGACATGCGCTAGGGATTAGGCTTCAACTGGCTTTCTGGTGAGGTTCTTTTATGACCTAGACGGGCAGCCTTTTGTCTCCACTACTCGGGAACCCCCAGACTAGTCCCCAGTCAGGACCAGAGAATCTGATTAGAAGGAATA